CAAGTAAATGGGTAAACCATTTGATAATTAAATTTGACCATTTCGCATACTTATGATTGCATTATTAAACTTTCCGATTGCATGGTTACGCTGAAATTTTTATAGATTTTCATTTATTTTAATTTAGATTTAGTTATTTCATCTGCGTTGGAATTTTAAGCTGTACTGTTTACCATGGCGTTCATTTCCTAATTATGTTTTTTTTTTTTTTTTGCTGTGTTCATTTGCTTTTCAAGTGGTTTTTTTTTCTCCCAACTACTTCAATGAGGGAAAGAGTTGTCGGTGAATTGGGGGGGGGGGGGGGGGGGGGCGGGGCAAACTATTTACTGAGAGAGCTTTAAGTCACAGTAACTGCTTTACCCACTTAAAGTAGCAGCAGCAGTAATAGTTGTGGTTGGGCTGTTACACCATAGTGCTCTCATGTGAAGACCGCCGGTAAGGTTATGGCGTTCTTCTGTCGGCAAGTGAAATTATACATCCTAACCTGACCATTCTGTGGCGACAGCACTAGCCATGCGGAACCAAATCTTCTGGCTCACGACTCTCTGTCTACTCCGATGGTAACACAGATAGCAGTGACATTATTTTAGTAGTTGTACTGATACTTGAAGGATGATGTGGTAAATATTACACTAGCCCCATTCACTAACTATTACAATTCCTGCTCCCCATTTTAGTCCAGATGGACAGGGATGTCAATGTCAGTTACAGCAACAACAAAATATCGCCAGGTAATGATTTTCAAATATTTTGAAGAGGGAGAAAGCAGTAGTCGGTGGAAGAGGGGGGGGGGGGTATGACATAAATTTGATAAGGGGGTAGTAGGTGGATTTAGTTGTGGGGTGGGGATCAAAGACTATCTCTATATCTGAGCAGACAATGATTGTATTAGACACGTGCGATTTCTATTTTCTTTCATTTCCATTTAGCCAAACTATGCCACAGCAACGCGTGGCCGGGTACAGCTAGTCCTTTATATATTCTTGTAACAGTGCGTTAAATATTCTCGTAATAATCTGTTATATATTCCTTGTAATAATCCATTATATATCCTTGTAATAATCCGTTAAACTAATATTTTTAAAAAAATTTAGTTTCAAATAAAATATTTAAAAAAAAACATAAAACACCTTCCTTGAATTATAGGTTAACGACACATTCCTGGTCTTTCTGATCTACATCAACACGAATGGCTTGTCTCCACAATCTTGCTATATACTGAAGACATGGAGACGGGAGGAGCGACTTGGGAGTCTTGCCACATACTCAGGGGGGGGGGGGGGGTCTGGGTCTTGCCACATACTCAAGGGGGGAGGGTGTGGGTCTTGCCACATACTGAAGTGGAAGGGGATCTTGCCACTCATACGCAAGGGGAAGGAGGTCTTGTCACATATACTGAAGGGAAAGGGGCTCTTGTCACATATAAAAGGGGAAGGGGGTCTTGCCACATGTACTAAAGGGGAAGGGGGTCTTGCCACATATACTCAAGGGGAAGGGGGTCTTGCCACATATACGCAAGGGGAAGGAGGTCTTGTCACATATACTGAAGGGAAAGGGGCTCTTGCCACATATAAAAGGGGAAAGGGGTCTTGACACATATACTCAAGGGAAGGGGGTCTTGCCACATATACTCAAGGGAAGGGGGTCTTGCCACATATACTCAAGGGAAGGGGGTCTTGCCACATATACGCAAGGGAAGGGGGTCTTGCCACATATACTCAAGGGAAGTGGGTCTTGCCACATATACGCAAGGGGCAGGGGGTCTTGCCACATATACTCAAGGGAAGGGGGTCTTGTCACATATACGCAAGGGGCAGGGGGTCTTGCCACATATACTCAAGGAAAGGGGGTCTTGCCACATATAAAAGGGGAAGGGGGTCTTGCCACATATACTCAAGGGAAGGGGGTCTTGCCACATATTCAAGGGGAAGTGGGTATTGCCATATATACGCACGTGGGACGTGAGGGTCTCGCTACACATTCTAGGGAAAGGGTGTCTTGTTCACTCAGGAGGTTGGGGGAGGTCTTGCTTTAAACATATCTTCTGAGGGGAGGGGGATCTTGCCACATCCTTTAGGGGGATGGGGGTTGGGGTTGGGGGTCTTGTCATATATACTGAAGATATATACATATATACGGCTGCTTGAAAAAGGTTGGAGATAATTGATTTAGACCATTATAGAGTAGCAGGTCTTACTCAGAGGACGCTACCATCACAGCACGCCTGCGAGAAACTAGGTCCCTCTCTAGCTCTTATGCGGCTTGCACTCTCCTGTCCAAGACAACTCTTATGTCGTGTGCCCATCATTATGCTGGTCAGTCCTTGCCCCTATTACTTAATACTATACCCTAATTTTCCAATCTACCGTGGCGCTAATATGGCTAAAGTATTTCAGTTTCCGATACCGTTGAAAGAATGTTTGACGTCGTTGTAAATTTCTATGAAAATAAGTTATTTTTAAAATAAAGTTAGATGTAGCCTGTTTTATCTTTTTAGGATTTGTGAGTGGGTACAGCAGTGTTGAATTAGTTAAAGAAGATTAGACGCGATTGGAGGTGTGATGACAGATATACTGTGACATGATTTTCTCTTGGGACTGCAAGATGCCGCGAACGCAATGGGTTGATTCTGGAAACGATTTGAGTGACGTTTGTCTTACCGAGGACCTAGAACCGGTGGTTTGATTGTGTTTTCCTGCCCGTGCCACCGAGGTCAGGGTTAGCCACAACCATGTTGTGTGGGCTGGGGCTCAAGCTGACGCAGTCTTTCTCTCGAGGCTCTCGTCGCCGCGATGAAAGGAAGGAGCTCAAGCGGCAGAAGAAGCGCAGGTCAAGGTCTCTGGACAGCCTGGACTATGAAATTTCTGCGGAGTTTTCCACCGTGACCGTGTACGAGGAGAAAATTGAGGTAGGTGTTTGGAAATTTCATTTATTTAAAAAAAAAGTACTTTATTAATATCCTACCCCAGATGACGTTAAGGACAGTCCAACATTTTAGAGGGTGGTAAGACGGTTTCCCGGCTTTCTGATGCTTTTAACGACCCCAAAAAATCTAGAACTAGCCCTAACCCCAACCTGCCTACGTCTCACGAGAGAGTGCAGCCTAGGTCCTACGACTGCATGCAGCCTATCTACCACCCCCTGAAATATTAGACTGTTCCGTTACCTGTGGATTTCCCCTGTTTGGGGTAGGATATTAATAAAGCACCAGAAATAATAACAGTAAGCTGTCAGTGACTGTATACAACAGGTAAGTGCTGTCGCAGAGGTAATATTACTTACTTTGCACCGGGTACTGTTGCAGAACTGCCTGTCCCCTCTCCCAGATCACAAACCAGCGAGGCTAGGGCTGAAACTTCACATCAACAGAAAAGTAATATTAGAATATCATCATGTCGTCATTCAAGGTATTATCTAGGTTGGTGATGCTGTTTGGTAACGTTTCCTCCACGGGTCTTGTCTATATCTTGTCTGTGGCTTCAAACCAAACGCCTACATAAATGAGTGCAGTCACATTTTGGTCCAGTACACAAGTCCAGTTGCATGCTGTACTAAATGGCTCACTGATAAGTTTCGTCTAAGTCATGCTTATAAATGTTTATGTGTCACACACACACACACACACACACACACACACACACAGAGAGAGAGAGAGAGAGAGAGAGAGAGGAGAGAGACTTTAACGGACGCAGTATAGGACTAAGCCATTTAGAGAAGGTAAGCGATGTCGCCGGCTATCATTGCAAACTTTATATATATATATATATATATATATATATATATATATATATATATATATATATATATATATATATATATATATATATATATATATATATATATATATAACAAATCACACACATACATATATATGCGTGTATGTTTACGTAGTAATAACTATAGCTTGAACTAGAGGATGTAAGCGTCAATGTTTCCTGACTTCTTTGTTTACAAGTGTCTACGTATTTATTATATTCTACATCCAGCGCTTGCATATGCATACAAACATACACTTACGTCCGTTCACACACGCTTGTCTGCATGAGCACACACATACGCGTACAGACATAGACGACATACACAGGCATGGCAATCCAAAGGAAGTAATTATGTGGCTATTTTTATTGTTTCTTGTGGGGGGGGGGGGCGAGGGGCAGTATGTCTGTATGTATGTAGATATATATGTTTGCACACACACAGAGAGAGAGAGAGATAGAGAGAGAGAGAGAGAGAGAGAGAGAGAGAGAGAGAGAGAGAGAGAGAGAGAAACATACATACATCGGAATCAGATACAACGTTGACCATTGCGCTGTTGATCTGTTGTCCTTGTTTTGAACAGGGTGTAAATGTATTGCATGTGTTTGCAGTTTGTGGGTTGTTTTTCCACCACTGGTAATGTCATGACAATTAGGTCCCAGTTGTAGTCAGGGGCGCCGACACAGATGGGCGAGGGAGGGAGGGGGTGGCAAACCCCATGTTATTTTGTTTTAAAAGAGGAAGGAACCCACAACTTAAATAACATCCCTGCCCCTATTACATTTTTTTTATAAGGACAATATTTGAGGGGGGGGGGGGGGGGGGGGGGGGTGAAGTAATCTAAGCCCACGTGTTTTGACGCCTCTGATTGCAGTCCCTATTCTCTTTATTTTCGACATACTGTTTACTGAAGAACTAGGTAAGCAGCTAGCTCCCAACCCCTTACCTTTTTATCATTCTCTCTGTATTTTGCTGTCTCTCTGCCTCCCTGTCTGGGTTTTTTTCCTCATCTGTCTCCTCCGTCTCCCCCCCCCTCTCTCTCTCTCTCTCTCTCTCTCTCTCTCTCTTTCTCATGCTCTCCCAACTTGATCTCTCTTTCTCATGCATATCTTCTCTCTCTTTTTTTTCTTTCTCTCTCTTTTTTTCTCTCTCTCTCCGCATACTTTCTTTTATTATTGTTATAGTATCTACGTTTTATGGCTGTGATATAAAAGTGTAGGGTTTATGTCTGCTTCTGTCTGCAGCAAGGTCAGACGAGTCACACAGAAATGATGTCCGGTCAACATAACTGGTACGCGTGCTCGCACGCGCGACCTACTTACTGCAATGTGTGTCGCGAGGCACTGTCTGGTGTCACCTCCCACGGCCTGTCCTGCGAAGGTAAGTCACAGGTAATAGATGTCCGGTAGTAGACAACTCACGACTAGGCTTTTCTCTTTAGATTATTTAGGTAGACAGCTCATGTCCAGGCCCTTCTCTCTAGATTCTCTCCTTAGACAGCTCACGCCTAGGCTCTTCTCTCTAGATTCCTTAATTAAAACAGGTCAGGTCTTGGCTTTTCTATCTAGATTCTTTAGTTTGACAGCTCACGTTAAGGCTCTTCTGTCTAGTTAAGACAGGTAATGTCTAGGCTCTTTTCTCTAGACCCTCTAGTTAAGACAGGTCACGCCTAGGCTTTTCTCTCTAGATTCTTTAGCTATGACAGGTCAGGTCTTGGCTTTTCTGTCTAGATTCTTTAGTTTGACAGCTCACGTTAAGGCTCTTCTGTCTAGTTAAGACAGGTAATGTCTAGGCTCTTTTCTCTAGACCCTCTAGTTAAGACAGGTCACGCCTAGGCTTTTCTCTCTAGATTCTTTAGCTATGACAGGTCAGGTCTTGGCTTTTCTGTCTAGATTCTTTAGTTTGACAGCTCACGTTAAGGCTCTTCTGTCTAGTTAAGACAGGTAACGTCAAGGCTCTTTTCTCTAGATTCTCTAGTTAAGACAGTTCACGCCTAGGCTCTTTTCTCTAGATTCTTTAGTTAGACAGTTCACGTCTAGTCTCTTCTGGCTAGTTTCCTTAGGCAGACATCTCACATCTGGGCTTTTCTCTCTAGATTCTCTATTAATAAAGTAACAGAAAATGTTTTGATCGGCACTCGTAGAAAGAAGTAGAAAGATAGAAGAACACAGTAGACAATATAAGAATCGAAAGCCTTAGTTACCGTGCCGGGAATCAAACCTGTCACCTCCAGACGGCGTGTGCGCCTCGCTATGGATACAAGTGCACTAAAGACATGGTCAACTAACCGCCACCCCCCCCCCCTCCCCCAGAAAAAAGTGTCTTGTTGGCTAAGTATATCGTACAGCTTGAAATCCACAACCATGGAATACTGACATAATTCATTTCGAACCATTGAAATTGCACCATAGGTTACATACATTTATATTAAAGAAGCATATGTCGAATAATAAGCACAGCAATAATTTACGAACACAGTATTCTCTAGATCCTCTAGTTAGACAGCTCACATCTGGGCCCTTCTCTCTAGATTCATTAGTTAGACAGCTTACATCTGGGCCCTTCTCTCTAGATTCTTTAGTTAGACAGCTTACATCTGGGCCCTTCTCTCTAGATTCATTAGTTAGACAGCTCAGATCTGGACTTTTCTCTCTAGATTCTCTAGCTAGACAGCTCAAGTCTGGGCTCTTCTCTGTAGATTCTCTAGCTAGACAGCTCAAGTCTGGGCTCTTCTCTGTAAATTCTCTAGCTAGACAGCTCAAGTCTGGGCTCTTCTCTGTAGATTCTCTAGCTAGACAGCTAAAGTCTGGGCTCTTCTCTGTAGATTCTCTAGCTAGACAGCTCAAGTCTGGGCTCTTCTCTGTAGATTCTCTAGCTAGACAGCTCAAGTCTGGGCTCTTCTCTCTAAACTCTCTAGCTAGACAACTTACGTCTAGGATGTTCTCTCTAAATTCTCTAGCTAGACAGCTCACGTATAGGCTGTTCTCTCTAGATTCTCTAGCTAGACAGCTCGTCTGGGCTCTTCTCTCTAAATTCTCTAGCTAGACAACTTACGTCTAGGATGTTCTCTCTAAATTCTCTAGCTAGACAGCTCACGTATAGGCTGTTCTCTCTAGATTCTCTAGCTAGACAGCTCAAGTCTGGGCTCTTCTCTGTAGATTCTCTAGCTAGACAGCTCAAGTCTGGGCTCTTCTCTGTAGACTCTCTAGCTAGACAGCTCAAGTCTGGGCTCTTCTCTCTAAATTCTCTAGCTAGACAGCTCACATCTGGACTCTTCTTCTCTCTAGATCCTTTAGTTATCTCACATCTGGCTTTTTCTTCTCTCTAGATCCTTTAGTTATCTCTAACTGGGCTCTTCTCTCTAGATTCTCTAGCTAGACAGCTCAAGTCTGGGCTCTTCTCTCTAGATTCTCTAGCTAGACAGCTCAAGTCTGGGCTCTTCTCTCTAGATTCTCTAGCTAGACAGCTCAAGTCTGGGCTCTTCTCTCAAGTGTATTTGTGACAAGCCACCTGTATCAGACCCATTTTTCTGGAACACAATTCTGCCGCTGATGTACGTTAAACGCAACCCACTTAGGTCACCAAACAGACACGCAAACCACAGTAACGCCACGACGCCAAGAAGCCATTGCACTTTCGCCTCGGAAACCTTCAGTTTCCCACAAGTAACAGTAAATAAATTTTATAATTATGGATTTTTTTTCTTTTCATACGGCTTGGATGGGAAATGCGATTGACGTCATTAGTTCTATTAACAAACGCGCGGGGAGATTACGTATGGAGTTTTAAGTGACAGGCAGTGTCAGTGCTGATGTAATGGCAGTAATGAAGGCTTTTCATTTAATTCGCTTCTTCATCTGAGGCTGTACGGTTGTGTCCAGGTAGTTAAATTTGCAGGCCTTTACCGTTTTGGTTGCTGCGCCCGTGCTTTTGGCTGGGCGTTTATGTTTTAGTTGTAAGGTAGTGTGTCGGACAGTTATACATTTTAAAGGACCCTTTTCCACGCCTGCATGTTCATTGGGCATATAGGGCTAGGCCTGTATTTTATAAACCAATCTGCGCTGGGTGGGTGATGGGATCAGCGTCACGCCGCCCGCCTTTTCACAGAACTGTACCTGCTACCCATTCAAGACTGTGTCAACCTGAGAGCCGAAGTCATCTTTTGAAGAAAAAAAAGTCTGGCTTCATCAGGATCCTTCGATCCGCAGGCCAGCATCTAGCCGTTACACCATAGCGGCTGTCAGTTATGCAGTTAGGGAAGAATTATTTGGAAGCGGGTAGTGAAGAGTACTGAAGATGTCTTGAAAGAAACTTAATCAATGAAAGAGAACTGACTGCCCAGTCAGAAGGAAGCAATCTATGCTTGTTATGAAAAGGAGTTGAGTTAAGTTGATTCAAGAACCGACATCACAACATTCGGGGCGTTTCCATCAGCACTCCGTCCCCATTTTCAGCAGCCAGTGAAGAGTTCCGATACTAATGGTCCCAGTAGCATTCTAAATAAACGTCCGTCTTGCCTTTCCATTGAGCCTCGAAGATCTGCCAGAACCTCTCGTCACTCCCCGCTGCATCAATCTCACCAGACTGTGGTGATCTGCTCCTCCGAACTGTACACGCTCTCTAATAACGCACTAACCACGTCTGCCTTATCATGCAACAGTATTCCACCACGTTGTGCAGAGCCAGCCAGTCTGTCCGCCTGTTTATTTTCCAACACACCGGCGGATTCACTCGTTTCCTCCGCAGTGAAGCATGCCACTGCAGGAACCATGCCTGTTCTGACCTTCTTCAGCATACTTTCTGAGTCAGTTACAATTACGGTGTGTGTGTGAGTATGTGTGTGTGTGTGTGTGGTCTCTAACCATCGGAAAGCTGCAGTGACTGCCTCCACCTCCATTCTTAAGCTGGATGTTGTGGTATCATATACTAGGCTCTCATGCACCAAACGGCAACCATCAACTTTTGCTAAGAAACCCCAAGCACTTCTTTTGCCTCTTGACACCGAACCGTCTGTGTAAATGATCAAATCTTCTGAGCGAGCATTATCTTGAATTAATTGCTGAATTTCTACCTCCGCGGCACCTGCTGGCCAGTCTCTGCATTCCCGGCTCGGTGTGATTGTGACCCTACACAAGTCTGACTGCTCAGATGGCACTTTGACCCACTCCTCTCCGCGTCATAAAAAGGAGAAAACGACCGAGTATATTGTGACAGTGGTAAAATTGGAAGGGAAAAGAAGCCAAGGGAGACCGAAAGAGAAGAGGCTGGGCAGTTGACAACATGGCCCTGAAGATTGTGTCAGAACTGTTTGAAAGTACAGGCGGCAGAAGGTTGTGGAGAGACATAACTACAAATGCCACACGGCATGGACTTTAAGAAAAAGAAGAAATGTATGCCCTGAACAAAAGGACATTAATTAAGGTCACAGAACCACTGATGGGGAGTTTTAGGAGCGAGGTCCGCAAATATTAGTGAATCAAAAGACATGGTCCCCGTATGGTGTCTGGGACCCCATTGTGGGTCAGGACAAGAATAGACCCACTGCCTCCCCAACAAGCATGTCGTAGGAGTCGACTAACTGGGGACATCCTTCAAAGTCGGAGTGCATCCGCACGAGCAGCAAGGAACCAGCAGTCTGCATACAAATAAAGCAGACCTGTAAAATCGATATGCACGCAACACTTAGTTTCTGAAACAAGACTTAAAATAAAGTCAGGAGGTGGACGAATAAGCAGATCTTTCCACCAGAGAAGAAGAAGAAATAAAAGAAGAAGAAGAAGAGGAGGAGGAAGAAGAAGAGGAGGAGGAGGAGACAGAAAGGCGAGGAGCGATTTGGCTTTGGATAGGACAGATATTGAGAAGATCTGATAACCAGAATGTCCCTGCCCTGAAACCTACGGGGCCGAAGGAATGAAGGCAGGCCAAAACTACATTAAAAAGAGACTAAAGATGAGGACATAAGATGAGCTGCTATCTAGAACTTGATGTGAGTTTTCGTCCGTCGTCGGCAGTGAGCAGATTAGATATAATTAATGTCAAAGCAGCACAGACAATAGTTTTATATGTCAAGATTGGCTTTGTAATGAACTTTATTTCTCACCTCAGATAACAAAAGTATATTAACTAGAATATTTATAATTATGTCTTTTTCTTCTTCTTCTTCTTCTTCTTCTTCTTCTTCTTCTTCTTCTTCTTCTTCTTCTTCTTCTTCTTCTTCTTCTTCTTCTTCTTCTTCTTCTTCTTCTTCTTCTTCTTCTTCTTCTTCTTCTTCTTCTTCTTCTTCTTCTCCTCCTCCTCCTCCTCCTCCTCCTCCTCCTCCTCCTCCTCTTCTTCTTCTTCTTCTTCTTCTTCTTCTTCTTCTTCTTCTTCTTCTTCTTCTT